ATTGTCTTCTGGCCTTTTCTCTTTCTGCATTGTAATGTCATGTGTAATGTGCAAACTCTCACACAGCTTTGTTAAGTGCCTTGGGGCAAGCTTGTTGTGAAAGGCGCTATATAAAAATAAATTCAATAAAAAAAAATTAGCGGAAGGCATAGTGGGTCGCAGCAGAAGTAGGCTGATGTCACCTGAAGAAGGCTCCACAGCCCAAACGTTGCATTTAATTTCTTCTCTTTTCAGCATGGAACAAACCTTTACTTGTTCCTTTGCAGCCTACGCATGCAGACGCACATACCTGCTTGAACTACTTAATGAGGTATTGACTACCAAACCAGTCAGGTGCACTGAATGGCCTCCTGTCATTTCTAACTTTTCTTCTGTTATCCCAGGCACTGTTTCTTATTGCATCACCAATAAAATGTTTAATTTCAATGAAATCTGGTTCAGGTTTCTCACTATTTTGCCTGAAGCTCAATTTTAGTACCTCTTCCAAAGCAGCAGACACCTGCATCAACAGCATGTGAAAACAGCACAAACATTTAGAAAACAAATACGCACATTAGTCATTCTCAATGGATGGAACCGAAATGTAAATTATGGATCCTTCAGAGCTAAGCAATTAAGTTAAACTACGGCATGGAATTTGCTTAATATCTGTGGGCAATAATTTTTAATTATCTTCTGGCAATAATCATGACAGCTAAATGCCAAGAATAATGGAACTTTTGTTAACTTTTTTCAGACTAAAGTAACAATCATTAGTCAGCAAAACTCCTGTACTAGTTTCTGTATAAACACGGTGTCTGGTTTTCCAGATAACACCATAATATGCAATTTTCTAAATTGAACTTAAAGTTTTACATAACATTATTCTAAGTAACAATGGACTACACAAAGGAGTAAAAGAAGAAAGCGAGTCAGAAGCTTTAATTTCTACATAATTATTTTAATATTTGCCTAGTAAAAAAGAAGATAACTTTCATCTACAATGGCAGTTATTAAAATAGGATGAAAAGGATCGAAATTGAAGTTATTACCGACATGTATCTTAACAAAAACATCCACCCAATTGTAAAAAGCAATCAGTCACCTCAGTTATAAAAACGGACTAAAGATGCCTTTTCCAAATTATATCGATGACGGCAAATGTGACCAACAAAGTTCATGCAACTACAGTAACATTGAGCTAACAGTAAAAACTAAAACTTGAGGGTTGATAGAATACAAAGAATAACTACTATGCCCTGAAAAATAATCACATTTTTAGAAACTTTAAGGCAGTTCTGGTGATAAACAGATCACATGGGTTGTTTTTCAAGGTCTGTGCCCTTAAAATGTTGGAAGCTGGACTCCTGTAAGTCACCATATGGTTGTCTCCTGTCATCTGATGTCACAGCCAGTAACCTCTAACTGACCAGACACCACCGCCAACCATAGTCTATCAATGACAGGTCATGACCAAGGAGACCACAAAGCATGGCACCTCGCTTAAATCGATGAGGAGGTCCAAGCGCATTATTCTAGGCCGGAGCGTCTTGTCCCTACAGAACTTCACTTGTAGTGAGCCAGACCGTACAGAGCTGAGCTAAACCCATCAGGTCCAAAGATGTCACAAAAGTTCTTCCTTGCTCAAACTGACATGATAGCATTACAACTCAGAAACACACATCTGCATGCTGCTTTTTGTCAGCAGCTACTGTATATCACCCTGCAGCTCCCAACTGGCAGCCCTACTGAAGCTCAACGGGTGTGAGCCTGGTCAGTACCTAGATGGGAGACCTCCTGGGAAAAACTAAGGTTGCTGCTGGAAGAGGTGTTAATAGGAACACTAAGGAGCGCGCACTCTGTGTGGGTCCTAATGCCACTGTATAGTGACGGGGACACAATACTGTAAACAGGCGCCGTCCTTTGGATGAGACATAAAACCGAGGTCCTGACTCTCTGTGGTCATTAAAAATCCCAGGATATTTCTCTAAAAGAGTAGGGGCATTAACCCCAATATCCCCAAGGCCTTTACCAATCATGGCCTCCTAATAATACCCATCTATGAATTGGCTTCATTACTCTGCTCTCCTCCCCACTGAGAGTTGGTGTGTGGTGAGTGTTCTGGTGCACTATGGCTGCTGTCGCATCATCCAGATGGGGCTACACATTGGTGGTGGTGGTGGTTGGGAGTCACCATTACCTGTAAAGCACTTTGAGTGGAGTGTCCAGAAAAGAGCTATGTAAGTGTAAGGGTCATTATTAATTATTATTATTATTATTATTATTAATAACAAACAGCTGTCTCATTAAATTAGAGTGTGAAAGTTATGCTGTGGGTCACATACTTCAGTCTCATTGAATATCTGCTGGGTGAGCTTGAGATGACTTGTGGCATCAAGGGCTCAGAGACCAGCGAACAGGCACGGTCTTGTCTGGGTTCTACTAGAGGCATGGGACAGAATCGCACAAGACAGCATCTGCAAGGATGCATAGCTTGTGTTATTTCCAGCTGCGACCTCAAACGCACGATTAGGCTGTAACTTTCACTAGTAAACGCCCTGTTTATGTCAAAGTTAATCAGCGTAATTCACTTATCTACAGTATGATACGTTTGATCAACAAAATATTAGAGAAAATACTGCCATATTCCTGATTAATTCAAGGATTTGTTGCCGTTTTAAGTAATATGCTTCTTTCAATGCAATGTTTGTTAGAACAAATAAAATCAAAAAGAATGTGAATTAAATATCCCAACCATATTTTCCCTTATTATATGATGTCAGATTCCCAAAATTATTTAAAATGATTAATGAAGATTAACCTATTTTTTTCCGCTTATGTCAGCTCAGCTGCACGGACCTGAAACTGTCTGGTCATTAAATATAATTCTGTAAGTTGATTTTTTTCCCCACTGTAGAGAAGCTGTAGAGAAGAATGGCGAATCATCCCGTGTCTGATAACGAAAAACTCGTCGTAGTCATAGCTAACTATAGTACGGCACTGCAAAGTTATTTTGTTATTACCCGGACCGTGGGCTGCATGACAAACCAGAATAGCTGTTCCCAGTGAATCACATACAGTATGACTCTGCATCACGCCGCTCGTACAAGGGAAAACCCTTAGTCATCACAACGAGTTAGGTCTTCGCATTCCTATCAAATGAGAACCGCGGCTGTCCAACACGCCACCGGGTAATTCTTCGAAAATGAAAAGGCTCTGGTGGCTGTTTGCTAGCCCATGCTTGGTGTCGTTCTGCAGCTTCGCTTGGGAGAGATGAATAGGAGATAGGTTTCAGTATGCTAACTGTAAAGCTCAGCTTCCTGGACGACGGCCAAATCCCCATGGTTACGACAGGGCAGCAATTGCTTGCTCTCATTGAAAAATCCGTCCCGTTCGCTCTGAACAGAACAAGGGCGGAGGGGCGAGAGGAGGGGGGGGGGCTTTTCAGAGACAGGACGCACAAATCTCTCAGGTCAGCATAAAACGACAGTTTGAGTTTGTCGAGTTTGAAAACAGTTAACCGATTCAACAAATACCCGTTTTCCGGCATCCAGTGGTCGGTAATCAAGCGCCTCAAAAAAAAAAAGAACGACTTTTCTGACGTGCGAGATGGAGATGCTCAGAAGTTGTATTCGTTAATGAGAAAAAAAAATGAAACTAACCACCATTCTAATGCAATCCTGTTTTTTTCATGAACACTACACCAGACCTCTATTAAATCTGTTACGCACAAAATGTCTTCGTATGTTAATTTAAAGCAAACTTTGTTCCAACAATTTCAGCATCCCGAAAGTCACAATTACCGTATATGAAGGAACCTTAAAGGTTAGATTTTAAGGACAGGGACAAATCTTATTAAAGCTGAACACTTATTGAAAATGTGTTAACTAGGAAACATTGTAAAGAGAGGCTCGGATAATTGGAGAGTTAAGTGTTAATTAATCTAATTTACCATTAGACCCCTTAAAACAGGTATTTTAATCCAACATTTCAAAGTCGGTTATTGGAAATGCAAACCCATAATATCAATCGAGAAAAGTAAAAAACGAAAGACACTAAAATAAATAGGGCAGCAATCATTCGATGGGGTGTGTGCACAAGCTTCTCCTGCTTTTAAAAGTCTCCTATAAAAAAAAAACAAGGTTAAAAAGTAGCGCAGCCCCCTGTGTTTCAATGAAAACCTCACAATGAAGCGCTGCATCAAGACCCCTGCCAGGTTTATAAATCTGTCAGCACCTAAAGAAAACATTCTTCGCTTCCATTAGGGCGCACTACTATAAACTGTGTCCTGAACGGACATCGCTGCTCCACAATGCAAAGCCTTTATTCCTAACACTATGGCAAGAGTCTGGTGCCTTTAGTCCTCTTACAACTTAAGTTGAGTCAGTAAAACGTCAGGCAGACACAGTCCAGCAAGAAAGCTCTCTGGAAATCACGCTGTATGGCCACGTTCATTTTAATGTACCTCACACCCAGATGTTGGATATGCTCATTAAAGTCCGAGAAGCTAGCTACAGTAGCTTGCGCCGATGGATGACAAAAGGGTGGCATGAAAACGACCTTAATAAGCACCCAACTTGTATATCATTCACAATTTAATGAAACGTGTAGCACGCATTAGCTAAAGAAAATAGATCTATTCCAGCAGAATTCAGCACATGGTAGCTACCATCGCAGGCGGGGAGTGGAGCCCAAAATTAGCTTTATTCTTACTACTAGAAATGAAGACCTTCTGTGCACAGGAAGATAAAAATGTATCGACTTCCACAGTGCAATATCGTCTTGGTTGTTGCAAAGGCACGATACAAAAGCACATCACAGTCCCCTTAGAATATAAGGACAAAAACGTTTTGTCTACCTTTTCATGTCCGTACAGCTAGAAATATTTGTTTGTATTCTGGTGTCATGTCAGAGACAACCTCAGAGTACAACAAAGGATATTTTTTTATTAAGTGTAACAACATTCACCCGTATTTCAGCCGGACACAAAAGAAAGCGATACCAAATTAACGCCACCTTACCTTTTACTTGAGTTTCATACTCGGCTATTATCTCTTTATCCTTTTTGAACCTTGCTGGATTTGACATTTTGGCTCCCTTTCCGAGTAGTTTTTTTTTTTTAAAGTTCGCTGTGGTCAATAAAGATCTTCGGGGTCCTGTAGGTTTACACTTCTCGTTGCATCCTACAGGTTTGTTATATGATTATCGCATTAACAATGAAAATCGGGGGGAGAAAAAGTGCAAGTCAAGAAAATGGCACGATTTAACACCTCCAGAGAAAGAATTCCTGTTAGTTCCCAAGTTTATGTTACAAAAGAGAACAGGACGTCTCACAGTCCATCTTTCTTTAGGAGGAATCAGAGAAATCGCCAGAACTGAAATCCAGTTTCCAAGACAATCAGAGTCCACCGCTAGCCAAGATCTGAGAACAGGCTGCAGGAACAAAAATGACAACCACCCCGGAGCTCTCAACCTTTGAAATTATTGCATTGACCTTGCTGAGAGCAATCCTTAGCAAAGAGAAAAAGGGGGAGGTGGGGAAGGCCCCGGTTGTTGTTGTTTTTTCAACTCGACAGAGGAAAGAAACAAATGACACCAACGCCGAAATTCGCCGTGTAGCTCTCTCGGCGCCCTGTTCCCAGCACTTCCACACTTCTTCCAGCCTCACACTGCTTCCCAGACACAGACCGCAGCTGCCCCGAGTCACTGGAAAATGGGTGGGATCGCTCCGGCACATACAGCGGAAATGTGGACACGATTGACAACAACTCCAACCAGTCGAGCTGGCGATGTTTTTTGGGGGGGAAGACCGTCAGTCAGGACCGCTTTTCCCAATACTCAGACGCCCGGTGGTGTTGAAAGTGTGTTTACCCCTTCTGCCTGGAAAGGGTGTCCTGTCCCGTAATAGAAACCAGTAGAAGAAAGTATGAACCATGAACCCTCCCCTTAATGCACGGTCCCTGGAGCGCAAGTTAAAAGACAAAGGCGCACCAAATTTGCTGAACCGAACTAGATACGACACCGGCTCCAAGAAAGACGCAATACTGTTTACACTTCATAATAGTTCTTTTGTACACACATTAATACATATTACCAGATGTTGTTGAGACGCTGCTGAAAACAACTAGTACAATGTAGCAAGTTTGCTTGTGTTTGCTTTTTTTCTTGCCTATTGGTGTTACGTGAGCGATAATCCAAATAAATTTAGCGGTGTGTACTTGTAAAAAGGGAGGCTATTTTAAAGTCGGCCGGATACTTTTTCAAGCAAGCAATCGTGTTCCGTAACCGGAGCAATATCAGCTAAAGTTAATTACTTAAAACGTACAAATGTAATAACGTTTACTGAGCTGAAGGTCTGTCTGTGATGGAAAAAAAAACCCCGTAAACTGAACTCTTAAAGCTGTTCTTCGATTGTGGTCAACAATAGCTATTTGTCTCTTTTATTGTATATCAAGTGGCACAAGGATTTAATCCTGTTTTCCAAGGTAACTACTGTACTGTATATCTCCGTGTCAATTTATGCAGCCATCGTTCTCCAACAGGCAATACAGTACATAAACTTTGTAATAGCATGTCACATTAATTAAACGGTTAATATTTTTATTTTGTGACCTTAAAAGTGGAAGATTTATATTTAGCTTGTGTTTAAAGTATTGTTGACACCTTTTAACCTTTCCTTGATGAACCCTGAACTTTATTTTAAACTTACCCACCTGACGGTAAATGCTTTCCTTATGACACTAATATACTTTTCTTTAAATTGCGGTACATTTTTCATTATCAGACGTATTTTTCAGATTGGTACTGTACGTTGCATTGTTTCTGAAGCGTGGTGACAGGAGGTTTAAGATTTAACATTTTAACAGTTTTTTTTTAATAAAATGTCCCGGCGGTTGAAACATGGTAATCTCCTGGGGGTGGATGAAAAAAAACAAACAATTCCAATGAAGAAAAAAATAACCGCAATAATATAACGAAAATACAATCACAAAAGCCATCAGCTGGCACACTAACCCCATTTGAAAACTCACGCAGAACATCAGTATTGCAGAATTGTTCTGCTCTATACCTGGTTAATTACTGACTATAGACTGTTTCGGTGAGTACGACACAAAACAAATACGCACAAAGTAGTGTCAGTGGAGATTACATGTTACGAGATAAAGGTAGTTGGAAAAATCAGTAATGCTCCCTCTTGCGTATTTCTCAGTAATAAGCCTAGACTATAGTGAAGATCGTAATCATATACATTACTGTACAATCCCATGAACTGTAGGTATTTGTCTCGAAAGAAAAAAAAAACATATGGTGAATAAAGGGTGGATTTACTTACAACCTCATCCTCTGTAGTTGTATTCTCCTTAAAAAAAAACTGAGATTCCATTGTGAAGCGTTATAGTAGCAACTGCACATGGAAGTAGCCTGTCCTGTAGTCCCAACGTGAGTGGTTGTATTAACAGTGGCTAAACTTTCATTGCAATGGTACGGACTGATACACTGCTTCAGTCAGAAGGGATCATTGACTCCTCTCATTGAGTTCAAAATCAAGCTAAACGTTTGCCTGTGTTAGACATTTAACGAAGAAGTTTGAAAAAATCTAAAATCTAGAATATTTAGTGTGCACAACGTTTCGTGTCTCCTAATATAGAGTACATTTGCAGTTGTAAAAGGTCTAAATGTACAAAATACTGTATGTATATGCAGTTAAGGACAGCTTTGAGCTTATCATCCCACATAAATAGTCATTGTAATTCACTGGTGATAATATTAATTTCAGTGATCCATGCAGTTTGACCAGACACGAAGAGTTAAATAAGAGTTAATAAATAAAGGTTTACAAATGAGCGAACAGTTTCCAATTTAATTCGTTTGTCCCTTAAGGATTCCAAGGAATTTATTATTGTAAATAATAGTAATAAAATAAACTCTAACCACTTTACAGGTAATGGGGACTCCCCTCCA